AAATTGCTCAAACCTTTCCCTAAATTTACTCACCTGAAACGCTACTGTATGCATCATTTTCACTAGGCGACATAAGAGATCACCTCCTCGCCAGTCGTACGTCAATAACCAGCAAGCCCTTGATGGCACATAGATGAATATCACGAGTAGATCCGTATAGTTCAGATGTCGTTTTAAGAGATCAAGTCGACTTGTCACTTGTCGTTCGGCTAACTGAAAATGTACAGTAGGTGTTTTATCCATTTTTTGAAATTTTTGTGGAAGTTAACCCAAGGTTTTGAATTTTTGATTTCAGCAGCACTACGGTTACTTTTGAGCACAAGAACCGCTAGAATTGCAATGCAGAAAATTTTGCATGTGTCTATTTTGTATTTTTGACGAATAAGCAGCATTTTTTCAGACCCACGAATTACCACGTCATCAGCCGTCATCATAATTTTGAAATTACAACGTTCGAAACATGCTGTTCAGCGTAAGAGGAGCAATTCAAAATATTACGGGCATTTTTTCTGTTTTATAGTCACGAAAGGGAAGCAAATAACTTGCATATCTGAAAAATATGTGATAATGCCTTGAACCTAATGGCTTTGTACCCAACCAATATTAGCGGTTTGTGCCAATTTTTACTGGTTTTTGTCCACTTAGATCTCCCACAGACTTTTTGAAATACAATTTCTTGGATATTTTTTGTCCCCTTCTAATCATCGCTGAGCAAATTTCAACCTTCCTGAGGCGACAAGGAAGCTGGATGCGATAAATGCTGTAGCTGAACAATAAACAGGAAAGTAGTGAAGCCAATTTTGCCATTGCTGAGCAGAGTTCTACCTTGAAGGAGTAAACATTTGGCTTGGATGTGAAAATATCAGGCGAGAATCAGGTGTGGGATCCAAGATCAAGCCCCTTCGATGCACTTCCATTTTTGATGATTAAAAAACTTTGAAATCGCAAATCGTAGAAAGTCGTACTTATGAGATTAGGTCATTTCTTTGTGTGTTGCACTAATCTGAAATAAATCTCAGACAATGCACCGGAATTCCGCAGGACAAGCCAAATTTGCAGAAGTTCCGCAG